TTTTACATCGTTTCTTTTAGTTTTCTGTGAACGTATCCGGTGAAAATCGGCACACGCCGTTTCCCAATCTGAACCCTGCTAACAGTTTTATTCGATTTCTCACTGGACCATGAATAACCTGCAAATCGCGAGACAGATGCAGGTCACTCACTCCGATTTGCTCTCCCAGAAGAACGGTTCGTTCATGGCGATGCTCTTCAGCTCCTGCAGGGTGTCGGTCAGTGTGGCGCTGAACAGCAGTGTCTGACGCTTGGCCGGCAGGATCTCCAGGATCACCTCCAGGTCTTTGGTGAAGTCGGTACAGCCCTGCTCCAGCAGCCGGTCTGCCTCATCCAAAATCTGCCACAGACGAAAAGGAGACACACAAACAGTCACTAAAACCAGGAGATATTATATACAATTACATCACAGTTACTGAACATCTAACCGTGGCTCCACAAGGTGGAAAAATACTAAATAATGTGCACACTGGTGAAAGATTACAACATGTACGTGACAGAAGTACTTCATATAAACAGAAGTTTATGTAATAACAATACTCTTATCATTGGATCTGATCTATTTCTGAGTTTCGGTGAACTCACCAAGAACTGGATCCTCTTCATGCTGAAGGTGTTGGAGCTGCGGATGTGATCGGCTAGTCGGCCTGGTGTTGCTACGACTACATGTGGTTGGTTGGACAGCTCCAGGGCCTGGGTCACCATGTCTGCCCACAACACAGCAGAGTCAGCACAGAGCACGAGCATCAGACAAAAGCAAACCAAGTTCATGGAAAATGGCAACATTGTTTGGTTCCTGCAGCTGAGCATCATCGCATTTTGAGCAGGACTCCCACCTTTAATGGTGAACTGTGAATTCTGCACAGGTGGAATAAATTCACTCAAAGCACGACAGAAACAGGTAAATTTGGCACATTTTTACACTCTGATTAAAGGTCAGCTGCTCAATTATTTGCTTCAAAAATACTGATGAGAAATTTCAGGGGGAAAAGAATCTCTGATGTTTATTCTTTTCTTTCTTTTTCTTCTTTTTTTTTTTTTTTTTGAAAAAAACAAAAACAAAAACCCAGAAATAAGATAGTAGTTACCCATTCCACCGACGATGATGCATTCTTTCAGACCCAAAGGTTTCCCCAGGACTCGAAACTGCTCTGCAATCTGATAGGCCAGCTCCCTGAGTGACATATTTACATCACAATGAGTATTTACGGTACTGTGTAAAAATTTTGAACGACCCCTCATTTCTTTATATTTTGTTTCCAAGGAGCCAGACTTTCTCGTATTTTTTTTTAAAGTGGTCTTAAACAATAGTTCTTTGGGCTTTCTGAAGGTCTTTCAGAGTTACTCATTGGACTGCTTTTCACTCATTTTGAGTCTAGTCCTTGTACCTGACCATTTTCAGATGAATGTTTTTGGTTTGTTAAGCCAACACTGACCTATGACTCATTCAAGGATAAAAGAGACACTTAGCTCAAAGGATGAACCAGTATTAGAATAACACGCTCCAAAGTAACGTGTTAATGTAATAACATTAGATTTTTCAGTAACTTAGTAACTCTAATAAATTCAGTAATCATATTGCAGTTATAATTACTACAGAGTAACTTGCCGGTGAGAAAAAAAGCAATATACTAAATTACTTTCTCTGGTGTGCAATTAAGCAAAGTATTGCATTACTTTTAAGAGAAGTAAAGAGAAACGTGTACAGCTTTTTTAAAACTACGAGCCCAACACTACACATAACAGGCTGATCAACAAGCAATTTTAAACCGAATCTTTAAGCACTTTGTTACCAGCTGCCTGTAATTAAAAACACATAATTTTTTCCCATTTCTTTAGTTAAATCTGTGAAAATGAAGATAACACAGCATAAAATAGTATTTATGCACCAACCCAGTGATTCTCAATTATCACCATGAATCTTGAATGTGCATCGAGGTTATTATAATGTATAATAAAACTAGCTATGAAAGAAGTTAGTTACCTAAATTTAGCTAGACTTTTGGAAAAATGTAAACTAATTAAAATGACTTTGTGAACTTGAAAACGAACTAAAATAAAATACAAACATGGAGGAAATATCCTTGGCTTTTATCTTGGTAAAAAACATTATTACAGCTTGTCTGATGAGGCATTACTGAGACTCTGGATGCCCACATCTGTCCCCTGCACTGACCTGGTAGGAGTGAGCACCAGGCAGAAGATGCCGTACGGGTCCTCTGAGAGTTTCTGCAGCACTGGCAACACGAACGCTGCTGTTTTCCCACTGCCGGTCTTGGCACAGCCCATACAATCCCGACCTGTGGAAAGAAACACCTCAACAATGATGGTGCAAATGTAGAGCTGCAGAGGAAGTCCACTTCCGCTGTGTAAATAACAGAGAAAGTCTTCCAGACATCCTCAACACGAGCTTAACAGTTACTCAGAGATCCTCCGGCAGGTATTACAAGCATATATGTGACAGTATCCCCGCCCTGTCTTACCTTGGAGGATAGCTGGCATGCAGTTTTCCTGGACTGGAGTGGGCTTGTTGATTCCCAGCTGTTTACACTGTTTAACCAGCCAGTCTGACAGACCGAGGGAGGAAAAGTCGCCCATTTCTGATTTACCTCGTCCTCTGAAGCTCGGTAAGATCAGCTGTGGACGCGTTATGATAAAAGAATCGCTAAAATACTCTTATTTCAGTAAACACTAACACATCCTCGTGTGGCAGGTCCACGGGCGCTCGCTGATTACGTAACAAGAATGCGTCTTCTTCACTGCAGGAAAGTGCGCGTTGCTGCCATCTCCTGGTCGGTGTAGCGAACGACACTGAAAGTAGAGAGTGGAGCAAAAAAAAAAAAGAAAAAGCTGTTGATATATCGGTTAATTTATTTCTGTCCCCACAGAAATCCAATCTCATCTATTTTGGAACGATACTAAAGCTGACCCTTCATATATGAGCTGTTTCTCTGTGACATGCGCATCATTCAGCCTTTTTAACGCATTAAAATTAAAGTAGGAACATGCAGAGCGTTCTTATGTGCCTAAATAATGATGTAATGAAACTATATATGACACCTTGGCCCCCCTCTGTAAGACTCGGAGGTAGTACAGCCTCAATTTAATTAAACGTTGCATATTCACAAAGAAATATGCACACGTAGTGGAGCTTGACGCTTTGCCAGGTTTTGAGTTCTTTGTGTCCAGCACTACAGATTTGTATTGACCTCTGAACCTGCCAGAGCCTCAGCATTTTCATTGTAGAGCTGGGCTGTCTCTAATTTGTCTTTGCAGCGCACATTTAAAGGAAATATTGAATAAGATATGCCTATCTGTAAATCCCCAATCTTTACAGTAATATATATATTTACCTGGATTTCTAAGATTTTGTTTTTATTGTGAAACCAAGCCTTCAGGGTTCTGATAGAGATCACCTGTCGTAAAGTTCTCGCCATTCACGTCACAATGATGAAGTGAAACAAAGTTTCAGATCGATAAAAACCTGTTATTTTCTCTATGTGGCAGATTGTGTCAGACTGATCGCTTCGTGGTGCATTGTCACGTGTGATTAATGACCAGCAAGATGAAGGGAATCTTTCACAGGCATCATAAAAATACACTTTCTCTAGTCAGAACTTGTTAAATTTCACATCAGTCAGAAAATGTTTTTTTTATTATCAGAAGGTGGTCCGTGTGGGTTTTAGAGGCTTTGCAGTCAGCCACGTATCCTGATCTGCTTGGGCATAAACCTTGAACTTAAACCTGACTTTTTCCTGGCTCTCTGTGCTTCTGTGCTGCGCAGAACTGCAGCAGTCTCACATGGAAAACTCCAGAATCTCCTTTCAAAATCCAAGATTTGATTCTCTGCATATATTTATTTGTTAATGTCTTGCAGATGATCCTGCGAGTATTTTCTTCACCTGCCACTGTGGGCTTGCGAAGGACAGTGTGAGTTAATTCAGTTACTGCTTGACTAGAGATTCAGAAGAAGCTTCACCAAGAAAAGCCCATCTGTGTCTGTACAGCGGGCTGCCAGAGGTGATTAATGCCCTGTGTGTTAAAGGCAAAGGCCTGAAGGTTTAGCTCCATCCTGTCCAGACCGTCCAGCTGTGCTGCAAACTGCCTTGGACCGAGTGAAAAGTGTCTCTCTAAATTAAAAGGAAAATTGCTTGAATGCAAAGGCGAGGATCCGATGTTCCCTGCTGCCTCCCTGCAGCACAGAGGCGCAGTCAGCTGCATCGCTGTAACAGCCCACTGAGCAACATGATTAGCGCTCCCATTGCTCTTCCACCACACTTGAGGCTCCAATCTCCCATGTTCAGCCTATATTCATGCAGATAAATCAGTGGAGACTCTTTCTAAGCACACAGAAATGTTTCCAGCACTTTTAGGGGGGGAATATAGAACTTTAGCAAGAAAGCAAAATGGTGCAAACAAGTTTTGCTTTTCCCAAAAGAAACCGACTGTGTAGCGCTTAACCGACCTGTCTATATCCCAGATCGGCGATGCACTGAAAGCATTTGGCAAATTATAAAATGAAAAATACAACAAAGGAGGGCGTGAACTATTTAATAGACTTAGTCTCAGGAGATCCAATATGGCTATAAAAACTACAGCAATTGCTCTCAGTTTTCAGAGGCTTAATGCCTGCATCTGAGTTTAAAAAACAAAACAAAAAAGCTCTAATCTAATCTGGCATATATTTGTACATTTCTATACTGATTTGAAATTATTGGGATTACCATATAGCTCTTTATAAACATCTTCATACTCACCATAATCTGGTTTGACATGAGATTAACACATTAAGTGCAGCAGTGCGCATCATGACTGATTGTTTGCTTAAGCTTTTGTCGTAAATAGCTATCGGGGGCGGGGGATTTAAGGCTATAACTATGTCATTTTGACATAGTTCTTATTCTGGCATATAAATGAACAGTCGGAATAATGAGGAGTCATTTTCACGGAGCCCGTTAGATGGCACTGTGGAGACCCCGCGGTCCCACAGAAATAGTTGAATGGAATCCCAGTGTGATCTGGCACAGTGGTGGGAGGGGAGCGCAGCACACAAGTCCTGGAGGAGGTTTGAGCCAAGAGCACTGTGCTGCCCGACTTTTCATCGACATTCGTCCGTCTGTCCGAGCCGCAAAGCTGAGCCAAACGTTCGCGGTGCGTAATTACGCACGGATACGACAGTTCCGCGGTGTTCTTGGCTGTGGAAACCCCGCGGACAAAGAAGGGCAGGCGGGCTGGAGTGCAACTGACTTGAGCGGAGAGGAGTACTGTTGGAGGGGAAACTGGAGGAATCTGGAGTCGGAAGTGATTTGTCTTTTTTTTTTTTTCCAGAAATGTAACTTACGTCCAGGATTTTAGGAAAGGAAAAATCTTTTTGACGAGAGGGAAATTAGGAGTGGATTTAACCTCCAAAATAACATCTAAATCCTCGGAGCATGGGGTAAGTTGTGGTTTTGTGTCTGAAATCTTTTCTCTTCAAGTGTTGATTTAAAAAAAGAAAAAAAGAAAAGCTGAATGTGAACTTTGTGACTAAGTAGCTTCGTTTCTGACGTTGTGGGTTTTTGATTCCGTTGGACGGCATCTTGTACGAGGTTTTGGAGCAATTCTACCGTTAGTTCACATGTGACAGTCTGCTGTTTTCTTTGTTTACATCCCGGTAGCTGCTGAGAGAGAAAGGAGTCTTTAATTTGAAACGCAGATCCCAACTTATTTTGATCAAAACTCTATTTTTGACCGCTGTGCCAACGAAGATAATCGCATTACGTGTAACCGTCTGGCTGTCACGCTGGCGGTTTGTTTAAAAGTAATGGTAATTTTTTATGATGACGCACACGGAGGTCATTTAAATGCTCCAACTGCTGAGACTTCCTCTATTCTGTTCCTCCTCACTGAAGAGAGAGTCTGCAGGCTGATTCTGTTGCAGGGGATCCTGGGTGGCTTTTATTGGGATGCTGTTGGTGTCATGCTGCGCTCAATCTCATTAACTCTGTCAGTGTGTTTGCGTGTGTTCAATTATACGTGCAGGTCTCCAGCTAGGCTTCAGATACACCTGAACCCTCTTCCCACTACCAGAGTCCAAGCTGTTAGCTTCCAACCTCTGGGAGACTTCTATGACTCTTTAAGATGCTCCTTAAATGAATGCAAAGCACGAGAGCATCATCTTTTGTCATTAATGTGATTTCACTGATGCGCCACGATAAGCTGGCACCCGCAGGAGGATCCGATTTCACTGCATTATTGCATTATTGTGGTTTTACATTCTATTTATTTGCAGTCTAAACTACTTAATGTAATCGTTCTCAGTGCACAGTAATGCAACAGTGCCGATATTTACCCGTTTACTACTCACATTAGACCCCGTTTCCTAAAACGTGTGCTCCTATACAGCTAAAATGTGATCTAAAATACATTTCAAGAACATTTATTTTCTGGCCAGCAAAATATTTGGCTTGGAAATGCCTCAGGGTCGAGCTTGAAGAGGTGTCTGGAGAGAAGAGAGGGGCTTTTGGGCATATCTGCTTAAAGTGCTGCCCTGTGACCCCGGATCCAGATAGTCAGAAGAAGATGGATGGAAAATATGTGATAGTGGAAAAGACTACAAATTTGCACTGTAAAACAACTGTCATCCAAGAAACTCGGATTTGAAAAATTTTTCATTGAGCTTAATATTTTCTTTTATTTGTTTTGGTTGGATTCAGGGTCAAATTGAGTTGGTCAGGTTAACATTTATGGACGCACCTGAGCGGCACCTTTTCTTTTTTTGTTCACAATTACGATTTAAAAAAATAAAAAGTAAACTGGCCAACAACAAGCAGCTATACATACCTGAAATTCCAGTATGAATTGTAATATTTCACTTGTGTTAATGCAGTGATTGGAGTACTTTTATAAAGTGATTGCAAACTGCTGTAAAGCACCCACGCATTCAATTCTTAGGTTTCAAGGTTCAAGGTTTCAAAGTCATGGAAATATTTGTGGTTTCAGGGCTTTGAAACCACAAATGTTTCTTTTGCTGTCGTGTTTTCCATGTGTGAGATGGAGAAGGTGCACTGGAATGTGTTACTGTCAATAAAAGTCAGATTAGGAACTAAATACCCAACCCCAGTCAGCGTGGCATTGTGCCACAGTGTCAACGCTAAAAGCTTAAAGTAGACTGTATCCACTCTGTTGATGCCAGCGGGGAAATGGTCCTCTGACAGTAACAAACAAGCAAACATCTGCTCCGATGGCCTGTGTTTGATGCATTTTCACTGTCAGAGCTTAAGCCAGGCATCAACTCTGCTTCATCCCTCTGAGCAGCAGAGAGGCAGCAGGATTCAGTCACCTGAGCCAAATGGCGAAAAAGATTAAAAAAAAAGCTAGATTTAGTCACTGGGCCACCGTGTACTCTCAAACAGGAGTCTGCAGAACTCATAATATCCAGAGACAGCCTGCAGCTCTTCTGCACACTTGACAGATGGAGCAGAGTCTTGATTAAGAGTCGCTTCAGGTCTATAAACCAAATGAATTTTCACACAGGTGCTTTCAAGCTGTGTGCTGCTTGTCTTGGAGTTCTTGTTCTTATCCTCTGACATGGGTAGCCTGGAAATAGATGGAGATGCAGTCTTGATATAATGAACACCTTCTAGCTTGAGGTAACAGGCTGCAGATTTAGACAGGGTGAAGTTTATGATCAGTTTCTATTAATTCAACATCAATGCTCGGTAACAGCAATACATTAAAAATGGTTCAGAAAATCTGCATTTTCGGGCAGCATTTGGAGGAGCCTAATTAATGGGTTTATTGTGTGTTAATGACACGAGAACTATGTATAAGTACTATTTTTAAATGAAGCTGTGGTCTTAAGTGTAAGTCTTTTTCAGGTGTGTTTTTAAGCAGGTCTAACCTAAATGAAATTCTTTGTTTTTACCACATTTATGATCCTTGAAGTGTTTTGTGCAGGATATGATCATGTTCTCTTGGTACTGTTGATAAGTACAACAACCTCCCCAGTTCCAAATAATTGTAACACTTTTACTCTTCCATGGAAAATATTAGCTCATTTTGAATTTATTGGCAGCAAAACATCTCATAAACGTTGAATCGGGGCAACAAAATGCTGGAAAAGTAAGTGTTACTGAAAGGAAACAACATTTTGCCATAATGTTATTTGGCAACAGGTCTGCATTTAATGAACAAATATGAAGACTTTTAAATGGCTCCTCATTTACAGTACATAATATCATTCAAAAATATTCAGTGTCTGGAGAAATCGCTGTGCACAAGGGACTAGGCTGTAAAATCAATACAGGGCGCCCATGATCTTCTGTCCCTCATGCAGCATTGCATTAAAAACAGATATGATTCTTTCATGGAAATCGCTGCATGGGTTCAGCAACACTTCCCGAAATCACTGTCTGCATGCACAAATGCAAGTTAAAGGTCTATGATGCAATGAAGAGGCATATGTCAACATAATCCAGAAACGCTGCCATTTTCTCTGGGCAAGGCTCATTGACAGTGGACAGAGGAAAACTGGGAAAATGTTCTGTGGTCAGACAAATCAAAATTTTAAATTCTTCTGGGAAAACATGGACACTGTTCTGGATTTAAGAGGAGAAGGACCATCCGGCTTGTTATCAACACTCATCACTACATCAGTGCCTACGGAATTGGCAGCATGTGCATCTGGAAAGGCATCAAATAATGCTGAAAAGTGTAAATGCAATATAATGCTCCCATCCACATGTCTTTCTCAAGGAAGGCCTTGCATATTTCATTAAGACAATACTAAACGACACACTGCATCTATTACAGCATTGCTTTATAGAAGTCTGAGCTGCCTGCAGTAGAGACCAAATTTCACCAACTGAGAACAATTAGAGCATCTTGAAACCAAAAATAAAAGAAATAAGACACTTTGAGAAGTCCTGTATCAGGCAAGAATGGGACAACATTCCTCTCCTAAAAGTTCAGCAACTGGTGTCCTCAGTTCCTAGACATTTACAGACTGTTGTTAAAAGAAGAGGGCATGCTACACAGTGGTAAACATGGCCCTGTCCCAACTTATTGACGTGTCGCTGCCATCAAATTAAAAATGATCTAATATTTTTCCTGAAATAGTCAAGTGTCTGTTGTGAATAAAACATGGGTTTATGAGATCTGCAGATCATGGTATTCTGCTTTCACTGACATTTTACACAACGTCCCAACCTCTTGATGTGGACCCCCTGAAGCAGTGGCTGGTAAGATCAACAGGTTTTATGCTTCACCTTATAACTTGAACTATCTCCTTCTTGTTCTGCTGCAGAGGAGTTGTCTGCCAGCTGTAAAATGTACCCGCTACACCGAGAGAGGTACAAACACACCGCTGTCTCTGTGTTGTTGCTCTGTCTGATAGGGATGGGTGATACCTCCTACCAATTAATGCTGAGCTTTAGGTCACTGTGTGTACCTTTCACTCAGCAGAAGCTGCTTAATTACAAACGCCTGGGGTATTCAAAGCGTATAAGTTTGGTATCTATTAATATTATTTGGTTTAAAAAAAAGTGTAAAAAGTAGCTCAGTATGAATATGGGGACGCTTGTAAAATTTAAAGTAGGGCAGCTATTAATGAAAATGTCACCATTACATCATGAAATTGTGAATTTTTACAGTTAGGTTTTTTTTTGATTCTCCAAAATAAGACATCAGGTATTAATACATTGGGGATCAATCCTCCCATCCCTGCTTCATTAAATATTTATTTGCCTTTGAACAAAATCCACCCTCATCTTATCCTCTCCATCGTGTTAATCCTCTGCTCGGTATCTGTGGAAACTGTAACAAGCTGTAAGATGTGATTCGCAGAGTGGAGGTTTCATGCTTGTTGTGATGTGCAAATGTTGTCAGCATTTTGTGCTGCCCTCGCTGTCATCACCTGGTGTCCCTTTTATCACGCTGTCGTCCTGTCACACACTTTGTCGCAGCTCAGCTGTTCCATGCGCTGCTGGATTGTTTTGCATGTGCATCGTGTTGTACGAGCTCTTGGCATGTTTTGCATGTTAAGTCTCGGTGTTTAAAATAACTACAAATGTTAAAATACTGTGGATATTCTTGACTCAAGTTAAACTCATTGTTTTTTTGCTCTGTTTTTTGGGGGAGATGGTGGGGGTGTGTGTGTGTGAAACACTTTCTTTGAGCAATTTAGCGCTTATAGCTTAAAAGATGGAGTTTCACATTTAAGATAAGATAAGATAACCCTTATTAGTCCCTTGTGTGGGAAATTTGTTTTTACTGTATTTTTCAGCAATCCTCATTCACAGAAGCCTGTTGTTGGTTGGCTGAACACAACTCTGCCCACTCAGTGAACACAGTCAGTATAAAAGGCCTCAGGCACATGAAAGCTTCACTGACAAATAATGGACTCTTAAAAGAAACGAAAGTTGAGTCCTCTCTTCTCTTCTAGGCCTTGACAATCAGTTGTATGTTTAAATCATAAAAATAATGAGGTGCTGGTGTCAGCTTCATTGTTTTTTTTTTCTTTTTAACTGTTAGTTGAGTAAAGCAAACTCTGATTTTCTTTTAGCTTGTGGGATTTTATTGTTTTAGTGTTTTGTGAAATTGAAAAAGCAGTTAGATGCAGCAGGTCTGGATTTAGCTAGCTCATGAAGACAATTTCAATACATGTATCATGCTTCTTTATCCTTTTATACACACAGAAATGTGGAGCCATCTACATTTGTTGTTTAAGGTGGCGATAACTGCTGTAATTAATGTAAGATGGATATAGCCAGCGTACATGAACATATAGTTTGATGAGGATGGAGCTGATCAGCTAGCTAACTAACTAGCTAGAGCTAGGTCAATGCTAGCTAACTAGCTGGATTAGGAATGTGCATCCTTTTATTCACTGCAATGGCATTTGTGATGCTAGATGTGCCAAGTGAAAAACAGGCTTCCAAGAAATCAGCCACTGGCTGGAAAAACTAAACAGTAGACTCTTTGGAGAAGGAGTGGCCGGTTAATTTCTCAAAATTCCGCGTAAGAAGGAGTTTTTTTTTGTTCAAACACTGAATGAGTAAAGGATTGAGAAACCGAGGTAACTTCATGGTCATACAGTAGTGATTTGTCAATCATAAGGGAGCCTCCAGCTAAAACATACCAACGTTTTATTGCCTATTTTAATTTTGGAAAAGCAGTTGTGAAGATGCTAATCACAATTCTGGGGTGGCTGTAGCTCAGGTGGCAGAGCAGGTCAGCCACTAATCAGAAGGTCGGTGGTTCGATCCCAGGCTGCCTCCTGGCTGCAT